TGTTTTGTATAGAAAAGTACAATTTTTAAAATACTGATTCTGTGTTTAGTGGTTTTGTTAAACTTGTTTATTACTATTTTTTGTAGAATATTTAGAATTTTAATGTAGACAATTATATTATTTGTAAATGAATACTTCCAATGAATATTTCCAATCTGTATGCCTTTTATTTTTCTTGCCTTAGCACAATAACTAGGATGTTTAGTTTGAGATTGAAAAGAAATGGTAAGGACAAATAAACATTCTTGTCTTTTTCTTAATTTTTTTTTTTTAGTTGTATATGGACACAATGCCTTTACTTTATTATTATTATTTTTTTAAATGTGGTGCTAAGGATCCAACCCGGAGTCTCACATGTGCTAGGCCGGTGCTCCACCACTGAACCACAACTCCAGCCCCCTCTTGTCTTTTTCTTTACTTTAGGGGAAACAACATTTAGTCTTTCATTATTAAGTATGCTGTGAGATATATTTTTTCATTATTTTTGATGATGGTTCTCCCTTTTATTATTTTGAGGGTGTTTTTTTCTTAATTGACTGTGAGCTTTTAATCATAGTCATAAATAGAAGTGGAACTGTGTAAAAACTTCTTATTTCTGCACTTTTTGGGATGACCATACACTGTTGTTCTTAATTATATTGTTGATGTGGTGAATTACAATTTTTGCATTTACAAGATTGAACCAGTCTTGGATAAACTATACTTGGTCATGATAAATATTTGGATTCAATTTGCCATTACTTTGTTAAGAAATGTTCATGAAGAATTGCCATCTGTAGTTTTCTTTTCTTGCACTATCTTTGTACTATTTTTGTGTGTCAGGGTATGGATGGACTCAGAAGAGAAGTAGGGAAATGTTTGTGGAAAATTGACATTATTTCTTCTTTAATTGCATGGTAAAATTCATTAGTGAATTCATATGAGCCTGGAGTTTTCTGTGTGGAAAAATTTTAAATATACTTTTCTGATTTCTTTAATGGATAATAGGACTGTTTAGGCTATTCTTTCTTGATTGATCCTTGGTTGTTTGTATATTTAAAGGAATTTTTTTTCATTTCATTTAAGTTGTTGAATATATAGGCAAAATGTTCTTTTTAATATTATTATCCTTTTAATATTTAGAGGGTCTTTAGTAATGTCTCCTTTTTCATTCCTTTTGTAATTTATGCTTTTATTTATTTATTTTTTTTGGTTATATTGGCTGGAGGTTTGTCACTTTATTGCTCTTTTCAAAGAATAACCTTTTAGTTTCCTGGAAATTTTCTATTGTTTTTCTGCTTTTGATTTTTATTAATTTATTCTTTTATCTTTATTTTCTGCCCTTACCTTTTGGGGGTTTAATTTGCTTTTCTTGTTTCATTTTCCTCAAATGAAAGCTTAGTTAATTGATTAAAGGCCTTTCTTTGGTGAGTGTGGTTTGTAAATACTATAAGTTTCCCTCTAATAGTAATTTAGCTGCATCTCACAAATTTTTATATGTTGTGTTTTTATTTTCCTTCAGTTCAGAACACTTTCTAACGTCCTTCATGATTCTCTTCAACTCATGACTTACTTAGAAGTGTCTTGTTTACAAATGTTTGGGGACTTTCTAAATATTTTTCTGTTATTTATTTCTAGTTTAATTCCATTAAGGTTTAAGAACATACTTGCTATAATTTTAATTCTTGTAAGATTGTTTAAGGTTTACTTTATGGTCCAGAATATGGTCCTTTTCTGTGACTATTCCAGGTGATTTTGAAAAGAAAAAGTATTTTGCTTTTATTGGGCACAATATTTTGTAAATGTCTAGGTTATGTTAGTTGATAGTTTGTTTAGGTCTTCATAAATTTATCTATATTGATTTTTTACTGATTTTTCTCAATTTTTGAGGGAAAAGAGTTGAAATCTCCAAGATAATTTTGGGTTTGTCTATTTTGGATTAAGTCAATTCTGATTTTTTTTTTCCTGTGTGTGTGTGTGTGTGTGTGTTTGCAGTGTTGGTGATTGAACTTCTGGTCTGGCCTTGTGCATATGAGGCAAGTATTCCGTCACTGGGCTATATCCCCTGTTCAGTTCTATCAGTTTTTGCTTCATGAGTTTTGGTGCTCTGTTGTTAATTGCATACACATTTGAGATAACAATGTTTTTGTGGGAAATTGATCATTTTATCATAAGGTAATAGACTTTTTTACCCTTGGTAAGATTTCTCAGTCCTAAGTTTACTTTATAAATATAGCTACTTCAGCTTTAAGCTTTTTTTTTTTTTTAGATGTACAATTTATAAGGATAAATCTAAATTCTAACATCATTTTCTAGTATTTTAATTTTTAGTTTATAATATCAATATGTTTAATACGGATTTTCTGGAGATAGAAAATAGTTTGGTCTTTTTTAAAAAAACTAATCTAACAACCTTCATCTTTTAATAGGTATGTTCTAATAGTTGACATTCATAATGATAACAATAATCATTATTGTTATTATTATTAGTGCTAGGTATTGAATCCATGTCTTGCACATACTAAGCTCCACCGTGCGACCAGCACGCAAGCTTCATACAAGAGGTTCGTAGCATAGAAGTTAACTAGTGAGATCAAAATAAACACACAAAACTCAATTTAACTTTTTCTTTGACCAGGTCTGAGACGGCTCTCCCCTCTGGCTCCTGCCTTGAGCCACCCGGTGGGGCACCGAGGTTTACACAGACTAGCAGGAGAGACAGAGAGAGCATGCCAGGGAGTGGCCTTTTATTGGGGAACAAGAAATTCAGGGGAAAATTCCATCCAATGAAGGTCGAGGGGGACAGCATTCCAAGGTCAGGGTCAGTGATTGGTCTCAGGGTCAATGGTCAGTCACACCCCCACACGGATGGGCTCTTGCACCTAGAGAGGGTGGGGAATAGTTCCGACACAGTTTAGCCAGAACACCTCACACCCAATCAGGGAGGTGCCCAATCACGTGCGAGAACGGCTTCCCACACTAAGCATGTTATCACTGAGCTACACCTCCAGTTCAAATGTAACTATTGATCTTGTTGAATTTAGACCCACCATTTTATTATTTCTTCTTCATCCTGTTTTTTTTTTTTTTTTTTTACTTTCTGTTCCCCTTTTTCTGCTTTCTTTTGGTTTATTTTTTAGTATTTCAAGTTAATTTCCTTGTTGGCATTTATAATAGATGGTTTTTAATAGATGGTCTCTGTGTTACTTTTCATAGTATACTTTCAGACTTTATGACTTTAAGTAAAATGTAGAAGCCCTACAACTACATAGGTCCCTTTTCCTATAGTTGTCTTCTGTATTACATCTCATATATGTGAACATCATCTCAATGATTTTATGTTGTATTTTTTTTTTGCTTCCAATAGTCCTTAATATTTTAAAGAACTTCCTAGGTATAAAATAGGTAATTTATGCAAATTTTTACCACTTTTGTTGTTCTTCCTTCATTCCTCAAGTTCCAGATTTCCCTTTGGTATCATTTGTGGACAGCCTGAAGAACTTCAATTAGCAGTTCTTTTATAGCAGGTTTGCTGGTGACATATTTTCTTTACCTGAAACTGCTTTTATTCCTGAAGAATATTTTTGCTGGTACACAAATCTGAATTTACATTTTTTTTCTCTCCCAGCAGTTTATAATTTTCCCATGTTTTAATGCCGCAGTCTGGCTGGGCACAAATGCCGCAGTCTGGCTGGGCACACAATCACAAGCCACCACACAGCTTGTAGATTCAAACAGCAACTCTTTATTCCCAAACTCACACCAGCCGTCTACAATCACGTTCTGGGGAAATCCACGTTCTCTTCCCAAATCCACGTTCTCTGCCCAAATCCACCTCCACTGGGCTTCTATCTCCAAAATATACTGTCTGAATCCCGTGAGAACTCAAGGGGAACTCAGGCAGCAGGATATGCCCTATTCCCAGCAGGAATAATCTTAAACCTTAAACCTGGAACCTAAACTGGGAACGCCCTAAACACGATTATTTTAAAACCGGGAACACCCTAATCTGCCTTGGTCCTTGAGCAAGGTCACGTACATTCAATGTCACTGCAACATGGGGTACGCTGGCAAGGAAATTGTCATACCTACTTACTTGGCTAATGGCTCCCAGCATTTTCTGGCCTCTGTGGAGTCTAATGAGAAATATGATTGAATAGAAAATAACATTTGAATAGTTTCCCCCTTGATGTAATGTCATTTTTTTCTGTCTGCTTTCAAGATTTTTTTCTTTGTTTCTGGTTTGTAGCAGCTTGGTTTTGATGTATCTCAGGTGCTTTCCTAGAAATTGTCAATTGACCAAATTGTCAATTGGCATTTGCTAAACTTCTTGACATAAATTTAGGTCATGTCATATTTGGGAAATTTCAGCCATTCTTCTTTAAATATTTTTTTCTTTACCAATTTCTTTTTCCTCTTCTGGAGTTCTAATGACATGATTTTAGAACCTTGATAGAATTTCAAAGGTCAATAATTTTCTAGGTTTTATTAATTTTATTTTATTTTTAGAAATGGGGTTTTCTGGCTTATTAGAATTCTATATAATAGTGGGATTCATTGTTACATATTTGTACAGGCACACAATAAAAACAATATAATTCTGCCAATTTTGTTTTTCATTATCTCCCCTTCCTATACTGCTTGTTTCCCTTCTATTTTCATGAGATTCACTCCCTCTTCTTACTCTTTTTTTTTTTTTTTAGCTTTTACATGTAAGAGAAAACATAGGAGCCTTGACTTTCTTAGTATCTGATCTTCCTTTGAAATATTACACCAGAACAAGCTGCCTGTGTAACATCTAAGTTTGCAGGCCAGAACTTGTCCTAACTAGTGTTCTGGAAGGAGCTTTGGATTTTGAGAAAAAAGGTGGGGAACAATCTGAACATAAAAAAATAAAAAGCATTTTCTCACATTTCCATTTTGATGTTTATTAAACCCACAGCTTCCATTTTATCTTCGTCTTCTTAGAAAGTGATTCCCCACCTCAAGAGGGAACTCTGCAGGTCCTGAACATAGTGATCATGGCTGCCGCCTCCCCTCTGAGAAACCTGGAGGATGAGGTGCTGTGCTCCATCTGCCTTGACTACTTGAGAGAGCCAGTGACCATTGACTGTGGTCATGTCTTTTGCTATCACTGCATCATTAAGGTCTGTGAATCTTCTAGGCAGCCATTATATTGTTCTCTCTGCAAGACAGCTTTTAAGAAAGAGAATATCCGCCATGTATGGCAGATGGCCAGTTTGGTGGAGAACATCTGGAGGATGAAAGTAGATGAGGAGAGACAACCCAGAGAGGAAAGATCACCTGAGCAAAGGGCAGAGAAGCTGTGTGGGCGACATCTGGAGAAGCTGCATTACTACTGCAAAGATGACCAGCAGATTCTGTGTGTGATGTGTCGGGAGTCTCGGGAGCACAGGCACCATGCTGCTGTTCTTCTGGAGAAGGCTGCACAGCCTTATCGGGTAAGAATCTGGTTGAAACACAGGTCTGTTCTTGTAGCCAAGAAAGTTCTACCATTCCTTCAGGATAGGGTCAAATTTTTAAACCACTTTATTGAGGTATGATTGACATGTGGAAAGCTGTACATATTCAGTGTGCATAAATCAATAAGTTTGGGGATAAGTGTACATCTGAGAAATCACCAACATCAAGGCTACAAACGTATTTGATCACTTCCTAAAGGTTATTTATGTCCCCTTTATTATCATTGGTTTATTTATTTATTTATTTATTTATGTGTGTGTGTGTGTGTGTGTGTGTGTGTGTGTGTGTGTTTGGATAAGATCACTTATCATGTGTTTTGCCCATTTTGTTATTTTAAGTAGACAACACAATTTTGTTAGCTTTAGACATTATGGTATTTAACAAATCTTCAGAAGTTATATATCTTGTTGTAATTCTTTGATCCCTTTGACTTCCCATTTTTCCTCCACCTACCTCTGGCAACTATCATTCTGTTCTCTGCTTATGAGTTTGACCATTTTAGATTCCATGTACAAGTGGAATATTGTCATATTTGCTTTCCGGATCTGACTTATTTCCCTGGGTGTAATGTCCTTCAAGCCCATCCATGTTATCATAAATGGCAGGATTTTCTCTTTATTAAGGCTAATTAATATTTCATTGTATGCATATGGTACATTTTCTTTATCCATTCATCCATAAGTAGACACTTAGGTTGATTCCATGTCTTGGCTCTTGTGAATAATGCCACAGAGAACATGGGAATGAAGATATCTCTTGGAGATTATGATTATACTTCCTTTGGATAAATATGAAGAAGTGGGTGGCCAGATAATATAGTAATTTTTATTTTTAGTTTTTGAGAAACCTTTATACTTTTTTTAAAGAAATGGCTATACCAATTTATATTCTGACCAACAATTGTATCAATATTCTCTTTTCTCTACATTTTTGCCAATACTTGTTATTTTTTTTAAATAACATCCCTTATAACAGGTATGATGGTCCAAATATTTTAGTATGGAGAGTTCTTGGGCTAGATTACACACCTGTAATCCCAGTAGCTTGGGAAGTTGAGGCAGGAGGCTCCAGAGTTCAAAGTGCCTCAGCAGTTTAGCAAAGCCCTAAGCAACTTGGCGAGATCCTGTCTCAAAATAAAATTAAAAAACAAGGGTTGGAGATCTGACTCAGTGGTTAAGGACCCCTGTGTTCAATCCTCAGTACTAAAAGAGAGAGAGAGAGAGAGAGAGAGAGAGATATCGAGATCTCAGGGATTGAACCAAAGGGTGCTTAACTACTAAGTTATATCCCAAATGCTTTTTATTTTGAGACAGGGTCTTGTTAAGTTACTTAGGGCCTCACTAAGTTGCTGAGGCTGGCTTTGAACTTGTGATCCTCCTGCCTCAGCCTCCTGAGCCACTATGATTACAGGTGTGTACCACCACACCTGGTGGTGACTCAATTCTTGAATTTGGATAATAAAACTGATTGTTTCTGTCTTGGTCTGCTTTGTGCTGCTGTAACAAAATACTATGAACTAGGCAATTTATAATGAGCAGAAGTTTATTGGCTATTGGTTTTGGAAGCTGGGGGCCAAGATCAAGGTACCAGCTTCTAGTGTGGGTCTTCTTGCTGCATTAAACAAAATAAAGGCATCAGCATCACAAGGGGGAAAAAGGGTGGGAAAGACCAAACTCACCCTTTTATGAGGAACTTATTCCAGTGACAGCAAACCTGCTCCCGTAAAAAATGGCATTAATCCATTCACAAGAGCAGAGCCCTCAAGACTAATTTCCTCTTAAAAGTACCATCTCTTCACACTCCTTCAGGATTAAGTTTCCAACACATGAGCTTTGGGGGACATATTCACACTTGCCAGTTTCCACAGCTTTTATGCTAATAAGTCTATCCCAATACCTGCATGTGTTGGTTTTTGAGGCATTTGTATCAGGTCTCAATCAGCAATATAGATTATCAGCCCTCTTAAGTATATAGATTCACATTGTGTGTTCTTCAGCATGTAATCATCTTAAAAATATTTTTGAAGATAGTGTTTCTAGTGTAAATCTTCAGTATAAGTTTTCATTCAGAATTTAATTTCAGGGAAAATATCATTTTCGCTGACAGACTAGAGTATTTTCTCTTGTCTATTAAAGAAAAATGATGCAACTCATTGTTTTCCTTTTCTCCTTGGCTCACAGGAAACTTAAAACTAATTAAATCATTCTTTACATAATTTGGTGTTAGGATATGATATAGTTTGTCCCCCAAGGTTCTTGTGTTCCGAGCTTGGTCCTCAAGTGTAGCAATATTGGGAGGTGGTGGACTTTTAAGATATAGATCCTAATTTTGCTAAACTTGTTAAACTAGCCTCTTACTGAATTCTGGCTTTCTGTGTGGTGATTTGATCGCTCACATGTGCTGCTGCCATTGTGATGCCATCACCATGAGGTCTTTATCAGAGCTGGGATGATGCCAATGCTCTGCCCGTGAACCTTCAGAATTGTGAGATAATGAAACTCTTTTCTTTATAAAGTAACACAGCCTTTGATAGTTTGTTATAGTGATAGAAAATGGGCTAAAACAGCATGTATACTTTCCTTCACTTTTTATATTGATTTTCTTCTATTTTCATATTATTAATGGATTTTAATTTAAATTTTCTGCGTTTTTTGGTGGAAAAGAACCCTGTAAATATGAATAAAAACTATACCATAAGTCTTAATAGTTGTAATAATAGATTATTCTTTTATTTTACTTTTAAGAAATTGCTTTTGATTGTAGTATATAAGGTCAAATGCTATCTGATTTTACTATGGAATCACTTTTCATCTCCCTTTTACTTTTTAGGTCATTTTCTTCTTTCTTTTCTTTTTTTTTTTTGGTGGTACTGGGGATTGAACCCACGGCCTTGCAATATGTTATTTTCATCTTAATCTTGAGATTATTCATATTTATTTCCATAGGGTAAAATCCTAAATCATCTGAAGATTCTGAAGGGAGACAGGGATAGAATTCAGAATTTTCAATCTACAGGAGAAGATGAGATTCAGGCCCTGCTCGTAAGAGAAATCTCCAGGGAATGTTCTGTGTACACAGAAGGAGAATGTTCTGTGGGAGAGGGGTGTGTGTGATTTTGGAGGGGATTAAGAAGCGGGGAGGTGTTTGAAGGGATTCCTGTTCTGAACTCATCCCTAAAGATCTTACACATGTTCTAGTGTTTTCTGACCTCCCAGAAGAAATCATTCTCTTTCTACATTTACTATAGACAAAATTCCAGGGCCACAGGCAAGATATTGTAACAGTGTTTGAACAGGGCCATCAGTTCTTGAGAGAAAGGGAACAGTTCCTGTTGGACTTGCTAATGGAGATGGAGCAAGAGCTCACAGAAGGGAGGAGCAGCCATATAACTAAAGGCTCAGAGGAGGTGGTCCGGCTTGGGACTCTGATTTCTGAATTAGAGAAGAAGGTTCGGCAGCCAGCACTGGAACTTTTGCAGGTGAGGGACCACCTAAATTGTATCTAAATCATTTTGCCCCAAACTGGTGTTGCCTCTCCATTAGTAAGAGACTTGGAGGAGGAGTGAGGAGAGACAAGGGTTTATTCTGATTTATTGAGTTCTTTAACAAGTTAATCAGCCAGCCAGTGGATTATAAGCTCTAAATTGCAGGAGACTGTACTGTCCCCTCTCCCTTGGCAAGGGGTGTGGGTGCAGTGTTTGGCCATAGAGAAATGAATGTGATAATAAACTTGTGTGGGAGGTGGGTGAAGGTGCTGAGGAAGATAGGAATAGGGAGATAGATAAGAAGACAGGAAGGGGACAGAGTGAGGGGGCTACTTTTCTAGAGGAGTAAGTTTAAGTGAGAAAGAAATTGAAGGGAAGAAGAGGTGGGTAAGATGGGGCCAACTGAACAGAGGTCTACCAAGACAGGCTGAGATTTCAGATTTAACCTGAAGATAACAGAGTCTTAATAGACTATTATCTATTAATCAGGGAAGTTTTCCTGGTAGGAAGAAAGTAGATCTGAAAAGGGAGGAAAGGAGGGAGAAGTATGTATCTCTGTAAACTGCTTCTGCAGTGGAGAGTAGAGCAGTTTCAAGCCCATCACAGTAACTCCCTGTATGGTCCTGTTGTGAACCTGCTCCCCAGGGGTCCCACAGGGACTGCTGATGGCTCCTGAGGACATTCTTTCCATGATAGTGTTTGTATTCTCTTCTTTTCTAGGACCCCAGTGACATAATAAGCAGGTAAGTGCGTCTTATTTAAAAAGCACTTTGTTTTCTCTTCTCTACTTTTAATTTATTAAAATTTCACAAGGTCTAGAAGAGGACTTCTTAGAAGTTCTTCAGGTAGCATAGTTGAAATGCATTGCATGGAATTGGAGAGGCAGTTATAGAAAAATTATTGTCATAGAACATGTTAAGATGGGAGTGGGCTGAGGTAGAAATGAAATGGGAGGCGGTTATAGAAGAGAATTACAGAATATTTAGAATCTATGTCCATTTTTAAAACTCAGTTTCTGTTTTTCCTTTCAATTCCTCCCTAGTTCTCAGCTGCAACTTCTGGCTGTAGTTTCCTCCATACTCTGTAGAACACATTTCACCATCAGATCATCCTCCTTGCTTGGTCGTGATGGCTTCCTTTGCTCTGAGTGTAGGAAGAGGACACTTCTATGTGTCACAGGATGATGACTCTCTGGCATTGAGTCTGAGGAAATGTCTGTTAAAAACTTAACATCTGGGCTGGGGATGTAGCTCGGTGGTATAGTGTTTGCCTAGTAAGTTTGAGGCTCCGAGTTCAATCCCCTGCCAAGAACAACAACAAAACTTACACAGAAGATTTAGGCAGAGATTCAGAGTCAGGCATTTTGCTAATGCGCAGCTCATCTCCAGAGACATAATGGACTATTCACAAATACTGATCATATACTGTGGACCAGACATTGGGTAGAAAGGAGGTAATGAGGTAGGTTACCAGATCCTGTCAGGGGAAACTAAACATATTAAAGACAAGTAATTATGTAAGCAACTAGGGTGACAAAAATGGGTGATACTTCTTGCCTTGAAATATGTTATTTGCTATTAATAGACTTTCCCACTTTTTGGATTTTTTAATGTGCAATGTAAATTTTGGTTTTGCTTCTTTTCTTTCTTCTTTTTTAAATTTGCAGTACTGAGAACCAATACCAGAGGGCGCTTGTACCTACCACTGAATTACTTTTTATTTTTTTTTAATTTTAAGAAAGTATGACTAAGTTGCCCATGCTGGCCTCAAAATTTTGACCTCCTGCCTTAGCCTCTTGAGTAATTAGGATTGGATGTGCATCATCATACCCCACTTCATTTTATATTTTGCTATTTTTTTTCTGTATGGTCTTTAAGAAGAGTTATATCTTAACTGTGGATTATAATCCTTAGGTAATGTAAACTACCTTTTGTTGTCTTGTTTAATATTTTTTTCTGCCTTGAATTCAACCCTATATAATAGTAAGATCAAAACCTCAGATTTCTTTCAATTTATAGTTAACTTAAGTATCTCTTTCCAGCTTTATCTTAATTTTAATGATTTAGGGGTTTTGTTTTTTTGTATTTGTTTTGGTGGTCCTGAGGATCTAACCCAGGGCCTTGTGCATGAGATGCAGACACTCAACCACTGAGCTACATGTCCAGCCAATTTATCTTAGTTTTCAATTAAAAGCTTTAAAATTTTCTGAAATTAAAATCGGTACTTTAATTTTCTTTATCTGGTATATATCCTCAAGCAATTTCTTTAGAAGTTGTAACATTAATAGCATGTTTCAAAGAGCTCCAATGTAGAAAATGGCTCTCTTTTCTTAACATCACACATAAATGATATATTGATGGGTAGAGAACATTTTGGTTGTGGCCCTTCTTCAGAACTCTGTAAATTTTACCATTTGACTCTCATGTTGGAATTGACTCCTTGGAGCATTCACTAATTGTGCTGTCACTAGTGTGCCTTGTGTGCGGTGACAGTGGCCATACATGTCTTTCTTCCAGTGGTTTCCACCATGATTCTACTTTCTCTAGGTATCCCCGGAAGAAGTTCTGGATTGAAAAGCCCATCAGTCCTGCAATCAAAAAGCGAGCAGAAGAATTTTCTGATAAAATTCTTTCATTAGAGAAAGGCCTGAGAGGATTCCATGGTAATGGAACGGGTGAAGAAAGGGGCTCTGAGCCTAGAAAACTTTTTCTTAGTGTTTTCTTGGGTTTTGATTCTGGCCTTAGCTATTTATTTATTTATTTATTTATTTATTTATTTATTTATTTGATACTGAGGATTGAACCCAGGGGTGCTTAATCACTGAGCCACATCCTAAGGGTTTCGTTGAGTTGGTAAGTGCCTTGCTAAACTGCTGAGGCTGTCTTTGAACTCACAATCCTCATGCCTTAGCCTCCCAAGTCACTGGGATTACAGGCATGTGCCACTGCACCCCACTTGGCCTTAGCTTTTTAGCATTCCTTATTCTTGTATAGGTCACTTATACCAGGCAGGGATATTGGAGAGGGAATTTAAGTCTAAACCAGGATGTCTTTCCCATGACAGTTGAAAAATGATACCTAGACTAAGGTAGAATGATAGTTAATAGGTCTTGGAGGTGATTCAAAAAATACTATCTAAAACGTGAAAAACATTGGAAGGCCAAGGAAAATGGCATGATTGTTTCTCCAAAAAGAAAAAGAATTCTGTATGCTCCATTCATTGCATGTTTTGATAAATATCCAGAAGAACTGAAAGCAGGATCACAAATAGATATTTGCATATCTATGTGCATATTCATAATAGCAAAGAAATGGAGTAAACCCAAGGGTCCATTGGTGGATAAGAAAACCGTGTGTGTGTGTGTGTGTGTGTGTGTGTATATATATATACACACACACACACACCTTGGAATATTATTAAGCCAAACAGAAAGAAATTCAGACACATGGATGAAACTTGAGGCCATTTTGTTAAGTGGAACAATCTGTCACATAAAGGACAAATACTATATAATTCCACTTATATGAGATATCTAACATAGTCAAATTCATAGAAACAGAAAGTGAAATGGTCATTGCCAGAGGTGCAGAGGAAAGGAAAATGAAAAGTTGTTATTTAATAGCTATAGAGTGTCAGTTTTGCAAGATGGGAAAAGTTCTAGAAAGTGGTTGCATGATAATGTAAACATACTTAACACTACTGAAACATAAAATTTACAAATGGTAAGGATGATACATTTTATGTCATGTGTCTTTTACCTTAATTAGAAATTTAAAAAATTTAAAAACAGATTGGCCTTCATATATATCCACAAGGCACCATTAAAAAAGAAAGAAAGAAAGAAAAAGAACTAAGTAAGTAGAAGAAAGATCAGTAGAAGACTAGAGGGAAGGGCACAAGGAGAGGCGGGAAGGGAAAGGGGAAGTCCTAGGGACTGAACTAGAGCAAGTTATATTCCATGCTTGTGTAATTATGCCAAAATGAACCCTAATATTACATATAATTAAAATAAACTAATAAAAAATTTAAAAGAAACATTGGGAGAATGAATCTCAGAATTATATTTGAGAGTAGAGAAAAAATGATTAAGGTATCACAGTTGAGGACCTCATTAAACAATAGAGAATATGGTCCAAGTGCTCTTTAATAAAGCACCAGGTACTTTAGGCAGATGTTGGGATGGGTACTTGAATGAGCCACTTTTGAAGGTACAACTCTGGGTAAGGTTTCTCTATTTCACTTGAGTTTTCATGGTTCCTTTTCACCTTTTAAAGTGGTATTAGCCAACAATAACAGAATTTGACTTAGAAAGAGGTGGTGTCAGAATCTCTTACTATCTTTTTGTTCCTTCCAGGAAAATTGTTGAGGGATCTGGAATATAAAACAAGTAAGTAGTTGGAAGGGATTATTTTCTGATTTTTTTGCTTCAAAGTGAACTTTCCAAACTCAAATTGCAGTTTCCCTGTGAAGCTCTTTTCCTTGTGGCCCATCTCTTTAAATAGGTCTTCATGGTGGCTAATCTACCTAAATTCTTTACCTGACTTGCCAAATTTCAAACTCACAAACATTTAAAGAAAGATTTCCCCAGCTATAATGATCACAGTCTCTCTTTTTCTGAGGTTTTATCACACTGCCTGTGCCCTTGAATTTTCTCCCCACATTCCCTGCACTTTCTAGATAGAGGAGCTAGTGGAAGTATGAGCACAAGGTCTGAGGCCCTGGTCCCCAACGGAGGCCATGTCAGAAGGGCTCCTGAACCCATGGGAAAGATCTCCTTCAATACCTTTTAGGATGCCACAGCTGTTTCCCCTTGTTCCCACAGTGAGAATCGTCCTGAATTCTCAGACAGCCAATGGCTACCTCTCAGTGTCTCCAAATGGGAAAAGTATGATATTCACTGGCTTGTGGATGAACAAATACCAACATGGTCAGCGATTCGATCCTGAGCCTGGTGTGCTGGGCAGTAAGGGCTTCACCTGGGGCAAAGTGTACTGGGAAGTGAAAGTGGATAGGATCTGGTGGGGAGCAGAGGAGGAAGAAGAAGCAATGAAATACAGAGGTGGAGCCAGAGATGTGTTTGGCAGTAGCTATCTTGGTGGGTTCATAGGAATCACTGATGGATATAGTTCTCCTGGATACAGAAATGAGAGCGAAGAGTTGGAGGAAGAATGGTCTCAGGAAAATGGAATATGGCCGAAATTCTGCTTGTTGGGGGTGGCAAGAGAGTCAGTGGTGAGAAGAGGGTTCCTGGCCTTCACCCCTGAGGAGGGATTCTGGACTCTACAGCTATCTTCAGCAGGGGTCTCTATATGTACAAACTCTGAACCTTTCCAGATACTGTCCTACTGTCCAAGGCAGATTGGCATTGCCTTGGATTATGATGGAGGGAAGGTCACCTTTACAAATGCTAGAACCCAAGAGTTTATCTATGAATTCTCATCTTCCTTTACTGGGAGAATTTTTCCTTTTTTGTGGCTTAACTGCATGAGATCTAGACTTACACTGAGACCCTGAGAGGAAATAATCTGGGCACAGTCCTTTGGTTTTTTCATTTATCTCTTTTTCCTCTACATCATTCCCAATTTTCTACTTTGGCTAGACTGACCTGCTGGATTTCTGAATCCCTTAGGTGACTGAAACAGTATGGTAGCCTCAGGAGTATTCTGCCCTCTCTGCTTTGTTTCTAAAATGGAACTGATAATACTTGATCTGCAGTGCAAAGATTATAATTGTTTTAAAGTATTTATTAAAGTGTATGCTATTATTAATAATTTCTTCCATTGTCTTTGATTTGGTCCTTGTCTTTGTCTGCCACTGAGACAAATGTATGGGACAAATTCCTGGGTCATGGAATTGCAACCTCTACTATTAATGCTAATTAATTACAACATCCATATGGATTTCTCAAGAGCCTTTCCTGTCTCATTATTGTTTCTGCTAGTTTCCTAAGCAGCTGGGAAAACAGTAAATATTTTGATGCAAATCATACTTGATCAGGCATTTCATGATTAAACATTGTGAGGTGTATTATGTATTAGTGGAAATTTGTTAATTTATTTACAGTGTCTTTTTCAAATTTTATAATAAGAAGGGGGAGAGAATTATGTGAAGTTCAATATACCTGAGTTTTTGGAAATAACTGCCTTGGAGTATGTCTTATGTCAGTTGGGTTTTGAGATGGTAGAAATAAGTATTTAGCTTAAAGATAAATTAATAGTCGTAGCTTAAAGCAGAAAACAAATCTGGATAATTTTAGCAGAAGAGAAACCAATTAAACATATTGGGAAAGTAGAATGCAAAGAGGGAGGGATACCTTTGTCCACCCATTTATAAATTCTGCAGTTGCTACTGTTCTTCCACAAGAGCTTGAGTACTAGTCAGTGAAGGGAGTTGCAGTGACAGGAAGGAGGAGGTGTGGGAGTCATCAGAAATTGAGAGGATCTTGGGATGATCACAATGTCAATACAACACAACACGTATGAGTATAATCTACTTTTCATCTTTCAAGAAATGGAGAGTGTCTTAGTCTGTTTCCTGTTGCTGTAACAAAATACTGAGATATATATTCTGGGCATTTCCATATATTTCCATATATATATATTCCATATATATATATGGAAATGCCCAGAATATATAAAGAATGCTTATAACTAAATAATGAAACAGACAATGCTTTATAAAAGCATTATTACCACCTAATATTTGTGGAATGTTAAAGATGCAGGTTTTAATTATTACAACAGTTCACTAAAGAAGATATGCCAGTCACTGATAAGATATGCCAGTCACTGAAAGGTGCTCACCAAGCAGTAATCATCAAAGAAATGCAAATTAAAACCACAATGACTTACCACCACGCAGCAACTAGAATGGAGAACATTAAAAACACCTGGGATAATACCGCATCTTAACAGGACGTGGAGTCATTGGAAATGTCATGTGCTGCTGCTGGAAATGAAAAAATGTCACAAGTCAGTAAACAGTAAAACATTATCTCAATTCCTGACATAAATATTTACCTTACAACCTAATAATCCACATTTGGGCATTTGTCCAAAGGGTGAGAAAGCATGTCTATATAGACAGACTTATACTTAAATGTTCATAGTGATTTTATTTATAATTTACCCAAGCTGGAAATAATCCATTTTTATCAACTTCTCAATAGGTAAACCAATGTGTAAATTAGAATTTCATCAATACTCAGCAACAAAAATGAACAAAATATTAATACGTATAACACATTGGATGAACTTTAAAATCATTATGCTATACAAGACTGCATACTATGGGATTGCACTTATATGATATTCTAGAATATTCAAAATTACAGAAAGGAATAGGGCTAGGAATAAAGGAGAAAATCGAATATAAACAGGTAAGAGCACATCTGGCTTGTGGTGATAGCTGTGATACTAAATGATTACCAATGTTTAACTTTATGCCTAAAATTAGCAAATTTATGTGAATAAATAAAAGGGGGAAGAAGGCAAAATGAATGCATATTTAGAAAAAACTCAATTCAGTGAGAAGTCCTGCATTACAGGTAATTTGAAGCAAAGTGCTTCAGGACATAGTTTCCTATATTTTGCTGGTTGTAGATCAATGTTACCACCTAAGATTTGTGGAATGTTAAAGATGCAGGTTTTAATTATTACAACCAAAATAAGAAATGAATGCAAGGAAATATGTGAAAAAATCCAGGAGAGGAATAACTAAAAATAAAAATTATTTGAAACAAAGGAAAGTAGGAAGGGAGGAGCAAGAATGAAGAAAAGATGAGATACTTTAAAAATAAATAGTAAAATAGTAAGCTAAAATAAAAGTATATAAGTAATCAGATTAAATTCAAATGGACTTAAATTTCAACAAAAAGACTGAAGTTACCACTTTGATAAAAATCAAGATAGATCACATGATATAGATAATAGAAATGCAAAATGAAACTTCAACTTGAAAGTTGGAAGATGAATAAAAAGGTCATTCAAGTAGAAAGCATAGAAAACTAAATGTATTACTGTGAAGGAAAATTGACTTCAAAACAAGAAGTATTGTTAGGGACAAAAAAGAACATTCTACAATGATAATAAGTATCACAAAAGACATAGGTAATAAATATAGAAATAACTAATTATATAACTCCAAAGTAGATAAAGTATAAATTAGTAGATTAGAAAAGGAAACTGACACTAAAAATCACAATATTTGATTTTCAATACTTGTCTCCCATTAATAGAATATGTGCAAACAAAGAAGTAGAACACTTACCCTCATTGTGAACCAATTTGATCCAACTAATATTTGTTGAATACCATATCCAATAGGAACTAAATAAACATTTTTCCCAAGTGTAGATGGAACATTCACCAAGACCAGCCATCTCCTAGCCCTAAGACAAGCCTCAATTAGTTGAAAAGGATTGAACTCATTGAATGTATTGACATTGGATTAGAAATTAATAACATTAGAATATCTGTAAAATTCCAAACATCAGGAAATTAATCAAGGTACTTAAAAATCCATGGGTTGAAGAAGAAGGGAAATTAAATTTTTTTAACAATAAAATATAATCAAGGCATGAAGAATGCTGCAAATACAATATTTATAATGTTTAATGAATAATAAAACTTTTATAAACTATAATATAAGCCCAAGGCCAACATCATTTAAATGGAGAAAAATTGAAAGCATTCTATCTAAAAACTGGAACAAGCCAGGATGTTTTCTTTCACCACTTCTATATAGTCCTTGAAACACTAGCCAGAGCAATTAGACAGATGAAAGAAATTAAAGGAATATGCATAGGAAAAGAACTCAAATTATTACTGCTTGGTGATGACATGAATCTATACCTAGAGGATCCAAAAAGTTCTACCAGATAACGTCTAGAACTAGCAAATGAATTCAGCAAAGTATCAGTATATAAAATCAACACCCATAAATCAAAGGCATTTTTGTACATCAGTGACAAATCCTCTGAAAGAGAAACTAGGAAAATTACCCAATTTAAATAGCCTAAAAAAAATCAAATACTTAGTAATCAACTTAATGAAAGAGGTGAAAGACCTCTACAATGAAAATTACAGAACACTAAAGAAAGAAATTAAAGAAGACCTTAGAAGATGTGAAGATCTTCCTTGTTCATGGATAGGCAGAATTAATATTGTCAAAAATATGGATAGGAAAATAAACCATACTACCAAAAGCACTATACAGATTTAATGCAATTCCAATCAAAATCCCAATGGCATTTCTCATAGAAATAGAAAAAGCAATCATGAAATTCATCTGGAAAAATTAAGAGACCCAGAATAGCCAAAGCAATCTTTAGCAAGAAGAATGAAGCGGATGACATCACTATACCAGATCTTAAACTTTACTACAGAAAAATAGCAACAAAACCAACATGGTATTGGCACCAAAATAGACTGGTAGTCCAATGGTACAGAATAGAGGACACAGAGACAAACCCATATAAATACAATTATTTCATACTAGACAAAGGCTCCAAAAACTTATATTGGAGAAAAGATAGCCTCTTCAACAAATGGTGCTGAGAAAACTGGAAATCCAGATGCAATAAAATGAAATTAAGCCCCTATCTCTCACCATGCACAAAACTCAAAGTGGATCAAGGACCCAGGAATTAGACTAGAGACCATGCGTCCATAGAAGAAAAAGTAGGCCCAAATCTTCATCATGTCTGATTAGGCCCTGACTTCCTTAACAAGACTCATATAGTGCAAGAAATAAAATCAAGAATCAATAAAAGAGATGGATTCAAACTAAAAACTTCTTCTCAGCAAAAGAAACATCAGTGAGGAAAATAGAGAGCCTACATCTTGGAGCAAATTTTTACCATATGCACATCAGATAGAGCACTAATCTCTAGGACATATAAAGAACTGCAAAATCTTAACACACACACACACACACACACACACACACACTCATAACCCAATCAATAAATGGGCCAAGAAAATGAACTGACCCTTCTCAGAAGATGATATACAATCAATCAACAAACACATGAGAAAACGTTCAACATCTCTAGCAATTAGAGAAATGTAAATCAAAACTACTCTAAGATTTCATCTCACTCCAGTCAGAATGGAAGCTATTAAGAATACAAACAATTGGGGCTGGGGATGTGGCTCAAGTGGTAGCGCGCTCGCCTGGCATGCGTGCGGCCCGGGTTCGATCCTCAGCACCACATACAAACAAAGATGTTGTGTCCACCGAAAAATAAATAAATAAATATTTTTTTAAAAAAAGAATACAAACAACAATTAGTGTTGGCGAAGATGTGGGGAAAAAGATACACTCATACATTGCTGGTGGGACTGCAAATTGGTGCAACCAATCTGTAAAGTAGTATGGTGATTTCTTGGAAAACTTGGAATGGAACCACCATTTGACTCAGCTATCCCACTCCTTGGTTTATACCCAAAGAACTTAAAAACAGCATAATGCAGTGACACAATAGCTAATTGTGGAACCAACCTAGATGCCTTCAATAGATGAATGGATTAAAAAATGTGGCATATATACAGAATGGAATATTACTCAGCATTAAAACAGAATAAAATCATGGCATTTGCAGGTAAATGCAATCCCCAAAACCAAAGGCTGAATGTTTTCTCTGATACGTGGATCCTGGTCCATAATGGGGGGTAGGGGAGGAAGCATGGGACAATGGATGAACTTTA